CAAGTGTATACAGGATAAACTCAGCTACTAATGACAGTCTTTTGTGTATTTGGATAGTCAGTTCGAATTGCAGCATGCTATATGCCATGTTTTTTCACATATAACATACCCCGAATATAACATGCACCAATTTTTGGAAGACCCCAAGAAGGAAAACAAATCTTACCATGAAGTATGGGTAAGTACCAGAGGTCTGAGCTTCATGCACTGGTACTGGGGACTTGTGGCAGGGCCTAGTCTGGCATGCTGGTACTGAGGCTGCATGGTGGGGCCCAGTCTGATACTAGCTTTGGAACCACATGCTAGTTATGAGGCAATGTGTTAGGTTGGATCATATTGCTCCACATACTGTCCTGATCAAGCATGCAGTTGGGGAGAAGAATCTCCATGGGTCCAGAAATTTGTCAGTGGGTAGTGGGGTTCCTGAAGCTGCATTGCTGCCACTGCCCACCTAAGCCAGTTTCCAGGCCTGTGGGAAGCCCTTTTTCTTGTATATAATGCATAACACAGACTTGGCCAGCTGATTTTTGTGGGGAAAGATGAAGTTTATATGCAAGGAAATATAGTACTAACAGCAAGGAAAGCTTCAGACTAATAGTTCAGGTTGCATAAATGGTGGACAAACTCAGATACGTTTTTCTAAGACTTGTCTTTTCTGATTTTCTTCCTGATGTTTCATGAAGCAACCCACATCCCCACATTCTTACAAAAAGGCAGGTTCCCAGGAAGATAAGGGTGTGGTTGAGAGAATCATTGTCTGGCTGTGGAGTTTCCCATTTGAGAGCAAATGTTCTGTCTGGTTTCCAGTGCCTGAAGAGACATTAGTTTTCGTTCAGTTTACATGACCATTCTACTGAAACAGCACCATGGAATTGTAATAGCCCTGATATATAACTTGCATTTGGAATATAAAATGTTAACCATGTTGGATGGTCTAGATTCATAGCCTTTCAAAATTAGTGTTCTGTCTATACATAAATAATAATGCTATTGCTACATAATGAATATACATCTGTATGAAAATAGGCTGACAGGGTGTGGTTAAAGAGTTGTTCGTGGTCTTTTGGTGCATTGTGATGTATGAAGCCAAAACTGTTTCCCATCAACCAGAAGGAATGGTTGTCTGGTATAGCTGAAAAACTGATTTTTATATGTTGAACTATTTTAAAAATGAAATGTTCTTAAAAATTAAACAAACATTTGGGATTATTTAAAATGACTCATTTTAAAATGTCCCTACTGTTTTACATTTTGAAATATTACAGATATTAAGAGCCTACAGTTTGAAGCTGACTTTGGTATCCAGCACTTGTAGATCTAGATACCTGATGGCTGATATCTGCAAATTATAACTCCTGCTCTCATTTAATGGGAGGCCTTTTTATTTCCATAAAACTAATGTTTGGACCAAAAAACTCTAACGTTTTTAATAAATTTACTTTATAAAAAGTTTCCTTTTAGCTGAAGTGTTGTAACATTGGCATCATGATGGTCCACAAAAGCACAAGGGGCAGGGATTTTCTGTGATGTCTTTTATTGGACCAGCTGTATAGTTGGGAGAGCTGTTGGATAAGCTCTCATGCATGGAGTGCCTGTCCTTGGGTTTAAGGAAGAGGCAGATGCAGATCTCTTTCAAACAGGCCTCATCAAAAAATTACGGATTATAATCGAAAAAGATGAGACCTTCAGGGAAATATTTCCATCTCCTACACTCTTGGCTTTCACACAACCCGCACGCCTGGCCCAACTCATTATCAAAAGTAAACTTCCCTACGATGAACAAGCTGTCAACACCTCTCCAGCACCACAACAATCAATGCCTCTCACAACAAAACTATCAGAATCCCCAGGTCCTGCACTTGCATATTACAGAATGTAGTATATCTCATTGAGGCTAGGTACAGACAGTTAAAAAGCCCTAGGCTGAATGGATTCAGTCTTTGCAGGTTAGTCTAAACTGCACAGATTAAATGGAAACAGAAGTGAGCAGACATTTACCTATGATTCAGGATATGCAGCCACATGCCTGCAATGGCTCAGGCCAGAAGCCAGGGGGTGCTAGAGCACAGATCTGTGCCTGTGTGTTCACTTCCTCTGCCTGCTGCCCCCAAGATCTCTGGGATATGCAGTCCAGAATTAAAGCAGCAGGACTCTGCAGGGTTGCTCATCACTTCTTCCTGCTTTCAGGTGCCTATGTGATTTGCAGTCAACAGTAAGTTTGAGCAGTGTGAGGGGTGTTTAACCCTCCCTTCCTGGCCTCAGACTACAGCTGGGGCTTGCTGTGGCAGGCAGTCCCTCCCCGCCGCCCTTGTAGACTGGGCTGCATCCTCCACTGGGCTTGCCCCTCCCCCCTTGTCAGCCAGCCCTCACTGCTCCAGCTAGGGGGCTTTCCCTGCTCTCTGGAGCAGACAGCAAAGAACAACACAGTGCTGGAAAGCATGCTGGGGGACTGTGATTTAACTTGAACCAGGGTGGGGTTTGGGACAGATGTTTCATAAACTGGTTTAACCCAGGTGAGTTAAACCTGGTTGAATGTAGTATATCAGACTTATCGTAAATTGGTTTCAGCCATTTTGAAAATGATGTATGTGCACTGAATTTCTGTTACAGGTTTAAACCAGTTTCTGATCACTTAAACCAGTTTACATGTAACTTCTGTTCCTAGCCTCAGTATTCCAGATGCTCTCATGGAAACTATGTGGGTGAAGGTAGACAAACTACTCACCAGAATGACCTCTTACAGAAAAAAATTGCACTCCTTCACTCTCTCTTGCACTTGCACACTAGTTATGAGCACATTTTTCACAAATGAACCATTCCCCATCTGACATCCAAATCCTCATGTTCAAAGGGACTTTAAAACCAGCTCCAGAAGACAGGCCTGGAAACAAGAACTTATAACCCCACTAGACGGTATGAAATCTAGACTTAATACAGACACTCTCTCTGGCTCATTACAACATAGCATAACTCATCTCCCTGTACTTTCACAGCTAAAAACTACTCTCTCTTTCAGAATCGTCTGGCTCTGGCACTAACTAGATTGTCTATTCCACTGCAATTTTGTCTCGCAATGGCTCCTTTGTAACATCTTGCACCTAGTTCACAAGCTCTCTTCCATCCCTCCAAGAACACTGCATTTGCATGGAGGCTTTCCTCTGATACCTAGCTCAGTGTGTGTCTGCCTCTTAGACCTAAGGAAGAGCACTTGATGCTGGAAAGCTTGTCCAACAAGTCTCCCAACTATACAGTTGGATCAATAGAAGATATCACAAAAAAATCTTTGCCTTGTAGAGAATGTTATTTCAGATATATTTTTCCTTGAATAACACCACAGCGGTGGTTAGTAGCTGATAACTAGGCCTGTGTAACGCTTCGGTCCCCAATTCAATTCAGCGGAGGTTCAGCCCAATTTGGTGGCTGAATCAGAGGACTCTTTAATCTCTCTGAATCAAATCAGAACCCTCCAAATCAATTCAGAGAGTTTTAGAAAGATTTGGAGATAAGGACATAGAGGCAGCTTTAAATGTTTTTTCTACATACCTCTAGGCAGCAGAGGCTCATGATCACTGCAATGTTGGGGCGCATGGAGTGTTCCACAGAAGCGCGGGGGGCTCCCCAGAGTGCTCGGCAGCAGACCTGGAAGTGGACCAGAA